AAAAGTATTTTTTTAGATATTTTTTGTTTTTTAATAATATCATAATTTCCATTTAATTTAATTATATTTGTGATGTGCTAAAAATTGAAATTGATCGTAATATAATTTAGGAACTTATTAATCTATCCGAATAAATGAACTTTCAAATTATTGAAAACTTACTAATTCAAAAGGAAAATATTTTTATGGAAATACATTTACTTAGTTTGATACATTTTAAGTCTTTGAAGGGTCATAAATTCCTAAATTTATAAACCTAAGTGGGGCAAGAAAACTCAACTTCGTCGAGTGAGTTGTACTTCCTATCAAATTCATACCTTTACTGGACATTCCCAGAAAAATATAATAATGCCCCACTAGGTATGTTCAAAGATAGTTATGACCAACTTTCATGAGTTGTAATTAGACTGATACATTTCCAAATAAACAATCATTGGTAATCGGCTCTTTTGAAACTACGTTAGGGTAAGTTCCATTTAAAGTTGGAAACTTATTTATATGAAAAGGGAAACAAAGTTTTCTAAATATCAGATTATTAAATAGCTTCTGAACAGGAGATTTGCTGATAAGTATGTATAGATATATTAGAACTATGCGTGAATCCACACTCCGGTGGTGGGTGTTTGTCGGAGGAGGTGGTGGAGGATACAGAGGAAGAGGAGGAGGAGGCGGCGGCGGAGGCAGTGGCGGCGGCAGTCTATATAATGTGTTCGCGGAAGCGTTATGTCAACGAGGGAGGAATGCATTGGACTGTACGTAACAGCTGATGTCACTCTTTCCACCCCCTGCGATGTGTATATATATATAGATATAGATGTATATGCGATAGCGGCGAGAGAGAGAGCGTGATAGGGTGAGGGGGTTGAGGGGATGGCGACGGCGGCAGCAGCGAGAGGAGAGCGGAGCGGCGTTGCTCTCACCCGGAGACTTTTCATTAAAATTATTTTGGGGAAAGGGAACGGCGATAATTTCATAAAATATGTATTTCGCTTCCTTATCGGCCTCTGCCCGAACTTTAGGGTTACAAGCTGAGGTTGCTTTCCCCCCGCGCTCTCCACGATCTCTACTGCCACGACACCGGGGAAAGCCTAGGTCTACTCGAGTATAGACTGTGTATATATACGGACGCAGAAGATCCCCCTTTTCTCCCGAAGCGTGGTCCACCAGCACCGAATAAGGCGATATGTTATCGGGAAACCACCTCTCCCGCTCCAGATGCACTTTCAAAAATAAACCCTTCAATTAAATGCCCCCACGAAAACTGTTCTCTTTTTTTGTCAGCTCACTTGACGCGCCCACCAAGCTGGAAACGTTCATCCGAATGCAATGTTCGAGATAAGTATGAATTTTGAATTGCCATCGCAAACGGAACGACGATGATTACGTTATGTGCGTGTACATACTACCCTCCTGATATTATTACACATTTCATGTTGTATATCTTATACATAAATGGTTTGTAGGTTTCTAGTTATCTTTTATAGTGTGAATATATAGCTTTGAATATGCGATTTTTTATCATTTTATTATATATATTCGTATGATATTTGTAATCAATGAAAATTATTACTAATCTAAGTTATTATCTAAAGAAGAACAACCAATTTCAATCTTCATTTAGTAATTATAAATACAAGTAAAAAGGAAATTAATTAATGAAAATTAATAAATTTTATTGCAGAAAAACTTTGGTCAATAGCCCTTAATACAAATTAGGTCTAATAATAATTGTAAATAAAGAACTAATAAATTGTATCTGTCAGAATATAAAATGTGTATTTTTTCTGAAATCACCATTAGCTAATCCATAATTTACTGCCTTGTCTACATATTAACAAGTAAACTCTTATTTTATGCCTCATCTCTCGGACAGTGTGCATGCAACATAATAGGTCTGATTTATTTAGAATATACCAAAAGATTGCAGATTTGCGTTGCAAACGTGCGCCTTCTCGTCATGTGTGCGTCGAACAACTAGATTATTTGTATATAACGGTTAAAATATGTCAAATGGTCAAAGGAAAATGATTTTTGTATGTGAATTTGTTCAATTTTATATAATAACGGAAACATATAGGATACATTTCATACGTGTAAATATAAAACTGTTTTACATGATATATTATAAAATTTCGTAAAATGTGATCAATTAGTGCAAATTATAAACATGTCATAATAAAGTCTATATTTTAGTTAATAATTTTCATTTGATATAAGTGTCGTTTTTTTTTATATTTCCAAAATTTTAAATCACATTTTTTTAAGATATTCCCCAATGCCCGAGGCTTCAAATTCCTAAGGACGTCACTGATAAGAGAAGTAAGATAGTATGTTTTTTACTATTTGTAGTTTACTTTTTACTGATATTATTCTACGTATTACATTCATATTTTTATGAAATTTAAGATGAGAGACAAACTATAGAAACTATACCTTATTTGATGAATCCACAACTGATAATATTATATCTAAAATAGTTTTAATAGTTAAAATAGTTTTATTGTACAGTGGACGAGTGGACTATAAAAGTACATTTTTACTCGTGTAGTAAAACATATTCAAAAATACACATAATATGTATACACAAGTTTTAAACATGATGTAGCAAGCGCGCAATCTGAGATTTCTCTTCTCATCGTCACTCGTTATGCAAAACGTCGCTCGTTAAGCGAATCATTTTTCTTACAATTCGTTAAGCAAAATGCTCGTTATGCGATGTCCTTGTTAAGCGAGGTTCCACTGTATTTCAATAAACTATTATGTAAATATAATAAAATATAAAAATTTCAAACATTTATTGTAACACAAAAATGAAAATTTATCAATTTTCGGAATATAACTGTCGTTGACTGTATACGACCTACGAAAAGATGGTTCAGTAGTTTCAACCAAGGCAATATATATATATAAAAAAAACGCTATTCATACGAGGGGTGATACTAGCCCCACTTTTCCATTTAAGGTTTCTAATTTAAACGCCATTAAATCCATTTCAATGACTCTTTAGCGGGAACAGAAGCAACTTCTCTTTTTATTCTTTGCTTTTTATATTTCATTTTAATAAAAAAAAATCATCATTTTTTTCAAATTTGTTGATTATTATTTACAATCAAATTAAATTCAAATAATCTGATATAAGTTATTATATAATATTATATAATATTATATTAATATTACAGAAATTACGAGTCCGAATAATAATAGTTGATTAAGAATAATATTTTTTATGTAAAGTAACTAATATGCATGTAAATAGATATGTTTTCTTATAAGATTTATGAAATTGTAAGAAATGCGGAACAAACTAAAAAATACATATAACAGTTTAGGTTTGAACCTTGAGGCACACCTCCATTCTTAAAGGAAAAAATCTGTAATTGGGTCAGCGCACATTCTTGATTGTTTCATAAGTGATAAACAACAAAATTCCAGAATGTGTCGACTCCTCGCGTTACTAAAATCTGAAATTTTTCATTTGTTATCGTGTTATAACAATGTTTGTTCTATAAAAGTCTGCATTACATAAATTTCTAGGTTTTTTAAAATAAAAAAAAATCAATGAATAAATAAATGTACAAAATTATTATTTAAATTGAACTTGAATTATTAATTAACTTAATGAAATTCCAAACAATAATCCTTAATTTTAGAAACAAAAAATAATCCTTTTGTATTTTTTGTTTCTGAAAATCCAATTGGTTACACTATTTTTATTCAATATATATTAAATAGAGGATGATTGAACTTTTTTAAATTTAAGTTGAATTACATTCATTACCAAATTACAGAAATATAGAGTTTCAAAATATCTTTTTTTTTTAATTTTCTTTATTCTACATAATGATTATAATTTAAGGGATACAAATTATAACTACTAACTAAACGGTAAATAAGGAATTTATAAAAAATGAATATTTTATAACTACTTTGAATTTCATTTCGCATTTGATAAATTATATTGACTTTTCATTATAATTATGGCACAGAATGTTTAAATACTCTAAAGTATTTGAAACTCTCTACCAACATATTTTCTATTTACTTAATTTAAGTTAGTTAAAATATATATTAAAAGAGAAACATTGGATAAATATTATTAGAAATAATTTAATTCATTTTTTTTATGAATCATTACAATATTGCTATTATTGATTAGAAACGTATTTCGTATTGTTTGGATGTTAAGATATAATAATGTGTTGATAATTAATACCAATATTTTTGTAAATAATTAAGAAAAAAAATGATTAAAATGTTAAATATTTAGTTTTGGTTTCCTATTAACACCTTGATTAGAACATTATTTTGGTTTTAATGAGTTGTTGCTAATGAAAACCAATAGTTTTCTATATAATTTATAAAAACTTTGATTGAGTAAAATAATTAACTTTCTTTATTTTTGTAATAAAGATATAAATAAATAATAAATTTTCTTATAATTTAATTGTCGATTAGTTCTGGTTTTTCGCATCAGCAATAGCGAAAAATATACTGAAAAGAAAATCGCATTAGCCGGGTAATTTCACTCTCATCCCCCCGTGGAGGAATAATTTCGTCAATTTCTACCGAAAGAAAAAAAAAAGAAAGAGAGAGATAGAGATTATAGAGGAAAAAAAAGCGCAGAGAAAGAGAAGATTACGTCCGAAATCTGACAGATGTGCATTTTTACCGTTTGTTTCGTTACATACATATAATTTTTTCGGTTTGAACGTTCTCTGGCTTTGAATCTACCACTACCCCCAAAAAGGAAACGCGATGCGAACGTTGCACGCATGTGCGTCGATAAACATCCCCTCAGCGACACGCAGCTCCCTCTGTGCGGCCGTTGCTCCTTCCGCGCGAATGGGCAATTACCGCACCGGAATCGATCGTTTGCACCCTCCTCTCGACGAACGCGATTGGTCGACGTCTTCGGTGCCCTCTCCCGATTGGTTCAGAGCGTGACGTCGGGTACCCACCTCGTCGTAGGTATCCGAGAGTCGGCATGATGTATTATCAGTTGGTCGTTGCGTTCAGGTGCTCGAGCAACAACAACAGACGCCCGAAGGGACTCACGACGTCGCGACGCCGACACACATACACACACAACTGAACACCGCCGCCGCACACAAAAAGGGACACTCGTCGCGACGCCGGTACCGAAGATAGTGTGTTGGAGAGAGATAGACGTATACGCAGAGTAGAGAAGACACCGCGCGCGATTTAGTGACGACTCATTAAGTAGTCAAGTATGATAATGTTTCGGCGCTAATTGAGCTGCACAAATGCGATTCTGATTTTCGACGACGATGGCCCTTCAACTGTGATACTAATTGATAAGGACTACCTGACTTCGTTTCTCTCTTAATTTTCTCTCTTCCGTTTCTTCATTCAATTTTAATTCGTGTGCGCGCTTTTTGCATCCTCATCTTCCAGTGATACACTATTTATTCTACTACTTCTTCTATTGGTGCGTGTTCTGTGTTCGTTTATCCGATATGACTATTTGACTTCGACTCTACCAACAACATACATAAACACTCGTAAGTTTTAAACATCTAATTACTTTCATTTATTATTGAATTGTGTAAAATTGAATTCTTATTAATTTTCAAATTTCTCAATAAACAGTTTTTTCAAGAATTAATTAACATATCTCAACTCATTCACTATTCCATTAATATTAATTTTAATAATAATGATCTCTTTATATATGTTACAAACACCTTTTTCTCAAACAATTCATCCCATATTAATATATATTTTGATTATACAACTTGATATAAATTACTTCATTCACAAGGCTTTTATTTAATTAACTAATTTGTCTTTAAATCTATCTTGGCTCTAATGTGCTGAAATATTTCTTTACTAATTTATAAATATCAAAATTCCTATTTTCTCATCAATAGTTTAATAGATTTCTTATATTTTTGTATATTTTATCATTCATTTCAATTATTCAACTGACTTCAAACTTTTTTCATTTAAATAATAATGTAACAATATTATATTTACAATTTATTCATATACTGTATAATACAATTAATTCCGTTAAGAATTATATAAATTTTCGTTCTAATTATCAAAATTATTATAAATTAATTACAATTATTAACATTTTTTTGTTCTAATTATTTATTTAAGAATATAACAATTAATATTATCATTTGGAAATTAATTTTCATTACTTTGTTATACATTTTTACTCAATACGTATTTAATAATATAAAAATTTATGATTAATCATTATATTTTTTTAACTTTCATTTATTATTTGTTTCCTTCGCAGAAATTAGATTCACTTCGAAAAATAATCATTTTATTCTACTAAAATTATTCATAGATTATTACACAAGTTTATTAAATCATTTCGCATGATTTACCTCCAGCGTCCGACGTCAATTGAAAATTATTCAAGCTCATTTACGTTAAATTTGCTTTAAACATAGAAGCAAATAAATTCAGTTAAATTCTTTAATAGAATACAAATTTCAATCTTATTCGATTTTTATTTATATTTTATATCTTACATATTTTTTTAAATACTTAATTAATTTGCGTGTTTTAATTAGAATTAGAAAGTTTATTGGTATATTAGAAACAATAATATTTCATTTTTATTTCTAGTACTAAATAAATTATATCAATTCAGTTTATAAATATACATTTTTATATAATAGAGATTTTTATCAGTCATATACCCCAAATCTAATCGCTTTTATATAATTTCATTGTAGAATTATTGATATTTCATGTAAATTTCTTATAGAAAACAAAAAATATTTATAATTACGTTTATAAAGCCTCCAAATTAGAGGCAATAAACATCTGTAAATAATTTAATTTTAATTTTATATAATTAAGATTAAATTCATATTTCTTTACCAATTTGTGTTAAATATAAAAAAATAGAAATAGGCATAAAGTTTTCTTCCAATATCCTTTTAGTCGAAAGGTCTAATACTACAAAATGTCTTAAAAATCAACGCAAGAAACATTTTTTTAATTTATTTCTATCGATCAACAACGATTATTTAACTTGAAGTTCAATTTAAAGTTACGTGTCATTAGAAAAAGCATGAATATAGTATAAAAAATTATAAAAATCTTTTTTAACAAAACTAATTCTAATGTTTGTTCACAAAATATTAATATGGTGAAAAGATAAATTAAAGTAATAATTAAACATAATTGTAGCTTAACCTTTAACCACTCGCGTCGTTGTAAAAAGTACACCAATATTCTAAGAAATTATACCACATCTTTATTATCTTTTCCCCATCTATGACACTTAACGTTACCTATGCTCAAAGTGGTGCAAAATTGTGTTGATTGCGGCACAAATAAGTTGTTTTTGTGCACGTTCATTCTTGCTCTGCAGTGTTGATGTAATGGCAAACGATGCTGATACCTTTACTGACAAATATATAAAGGACAATGACGACAATTCCGATTCAGAAATTAATATATTATAAATCTAATAAAAAATCATTAGTTAACATGAAAAAGTTATTTCTTGTCGTAATACAATTATTTATGCATTCCGTCTGGCAGTAATACATGTGGTGTATAAAATACATCGCGTGAGTAATTCATAGAAATATCAGAGCGCGAGTAGTTAAAGGTTAATCGTGAAATCATTAAAAAAACCGATCGATGCAATCAATTTTCGTATTTCACATATAATCTGAGTATTTTAAGCACGTGCCAAATTCAAGCCGGAATTATAACGCTTCCTTAATAGAGATTTTTATCAGTCATATACTCCAAATCTAATCGCTTCGAAATTTTGGCAACAAAAAAAACGCGTATAATTTTGATAATGAATTCTTTTAATGCAAGTACTTAAAACCAATCGAATTAAGGTAAAATAAAAAGTACTAATCGCATCCTCGAGGCTCAACGATTTTTTGCATAATGCCTCATTGTTAATTTAAAATTTAAAGATAACGTTACTTTAATTAATTGAATTGATAATGATAAAAACTTAATGATGTGTATTTTTTTAGTAATTATTATAGCATTTTTTGTTACTAAATATAGATTTTCTTTTTCATGAATAAAATTGATTAACATATACATTTTTTAGGTGAAATTCTATTACTGATTATCCCAAGCGAGAATCACTGCTCTATATTATGTAAGCGCAGTGCAGAAGAGAATTTCAGTTATTCAATCATTATTTTTTTTTTAGTTTTTTTATACTTTTTAAAAAATAAAAAACGTTGTTTTTTCTAAATTAATTGGAAATTTTAAGCATTGTGAAGAAATACTAATCTTATTTGGTAAATTTTCTATTAAGATGTATTACATACTTTTTGTAATTCAGCAAATCCTTTTTTTGAATGGAAATATTGAATCAATGAACTTTCTGATCACAAAAAGTATTTATTGATTAGAATTGATTCATTATTATCTAAGTATTCTGCAGAAGCAAACAGCATTTCGATAAACCTCATCGTCAAGTGAATTTATACTGTTTTTCCTCTGGTTTTTCCTTTTACTGAATGGAAAAGGTTTTTTTATACTTATAGAAAAATGAATATCTTTTTTAATTAAATTTTGAAACTCTTTTCCTCTTTCTATCTATCTCTCCTTCTTTTTTTTTCTGTCGAAGAAAATAAAATTTGAAAAGGTAAATCGCGTCCGAAGGGTTTGTGAGAAGGGAAAAGGCATTGTTCTTTTTAAATGGGCCGCCTTTTGAGTCCAGATTTTCGGGCGAGTAACAACTTCTCTGCACAATTCTCCTTTCGCAATCGAGCGGAACCCGTTTCGCCGCTAAATGGATTATTTCATTTTATTGTTAATTACCTCTCCTCGATTCTATTTACTGCGGAAACTTTTCACTTTTGTTCGAAACAAGTTTCTACAACGAAAGTATCTAAAAAAATAAAAAAGAACTGTACAGTTTTCGGTCAATTGATCTCCATTTATTATAGATTACATGAAACAAAGAAAAGAAAATACTGCTACTCGATGTTTTATATCTCAATTTTTGCAGCGTATATTTCTCGAATGGATTAATTCTCGATTAATACAATATTTGTCAAATTTGTATAGGAATTGAGTTTCAACAATAAAACAATCTGAAATAAGTGTAATTTTTGATCAATTTGTCTTCATGTATTACAAATTAAATAAAAAAATAAATTGTTGCTACACGATGTTTTATAAATCATTACTTCTATAGTCGATATTACTTGTTGGATGGGTTATTAAGTTAACGTTTTCAACTCAAATTTAAATGTATATGATTTTCTACTAAAATTGATATATTTATACAATTTTATTAAAAAAAGCTTCATTTCTTGTTTTGATAATGATATAAAAAAAAAACTAAATACTTTCCGTTGAATTGATTTTAGATAAAATTAAACTTATTTTACATATTTTGGATAGTTTTAATCTTATAATTTTCCAATTTAATGTTAACATGATTTCTTCTATAATGTACAAAAAATGAGTTAAAAGTATTTCTTTTTTTATGAAAGATTTTGAGTAAATCGAATTGAATAAATGACTTTCATAATTTAATTACTAATTATAAAGAAACAAGATTATTTTTTGGACATTAATGAAACCAAGTGAAATTAAGAAACAAAGCGAAAAGTGCGAAGTTTAATTAATCAACTTTTCCTTTTTTCATAAATACTTTTAACGCACTTTTTTGCGTTGAATATTTAGAAGTTTGGGTATTTAATTAGCGAAACACAAAAGGGATGTAATTGCAACGTAAAAAAAAGTGAAAGAGACGTAAATAGATGACGATTTTTTGCGACGGAAATAAAAAATCGTTCTTCGAATTGGTGAGGTGTTTCCTCCCTCGCCAATTTTCAAGACCACGTTCATCCTCATCCCCCTACACTGAAGCCGCCGTGCATGCACCCGTTTTAATAATCTGTTAAGCACCACCCGGAAATATTCCGAGACACTTCAGGGCCGAAGCTCCCTCCGCTCTTCAAATATAATAAATAACCATTTAGCCACTATCACAATGAAGAAACGAGCTTTATTAGAAGACGCAGTTTACTACCTAGGGAAAATGTATTAAAATCAATTTGTGCATGTTTAGTGGAGGGTGGCTGGTTTTCGAGTGGTCTGGATCTGGATGGTGTTTCGGGGATTGAGGAGGAGGCATTTAGGTGTTTATTGGGTCGCAACCCCTGCACGCATAAACCGTTCCCTCTCTGCCACACGGCGGATGGTGGAGGGTTTTACGAAAGATAACGAAACGCGGGTTAATTTTCATTAGTAGAGCGGAGCGAAACGGAGATTTATCTCTCCACTTATCCGAAATAAGCCCAAACCTTTGCTAATACTTATTTATCCACGTTTGTTCTTTTTTTCTGGTGTGTTCCAGGTTACTGTTCGTTCCCGGAGGAGTCCAAAATCGCCGCCATCATTCTGCCGGCACAGCAATTGGGTGCCACGGTGGCACCATGGCCTACTGCCATTACGTCCGTCGACGATATGGCACATAAAGGTAAAGGTAATGCCCACAAATCAACGATTAATTTTATTGTGCGTGCGGTCTATACCTAAAAGCAAATTGCATCCAATGTGTTGATCCACGCATTACAAACTATAATCAAATTATTATATTAACTGACAACTTGATAGCTAATGCGACGTTAATTTGTTTCGTTCTCGTTGACAATTCAAATTTCCACATCATTTAAATTAAATTATCTCATAAAATACTCTTTTTCCAACACGACGTTTTGTAAAATTGTGTTGAATTAAGCAAGAAAATAATCAAATTGACATTTTACTGACAACTCAATGCATACGTTTTGTTTACATTAAAAAACATGTAGGATTTTAGCACCGAAACTGTGAAATATAGTCGTAATTATTAAAAAATTAAAATTTACACAATCTTATTTCAATATCATCTCAAACTCATTTATTTCTTTTGCAAAATTTGGTAAAACTAGAATTAATTAAAGCGATAATAGAATTAACAAATTACTGATTCATAAAACAATTGATTGATTGGTAGAAAGAACTTACCTCAATAATATTTTACTATAACACTAGTTACCAATTCTACTATAACATTAATTTCAATACCATCTACATTGTCATTTAATTGACAACAAGATATCATGAAAACAAAGTTCATTTATTTTGTTTACAAATAACAAAATTATGACAAACTAGATGGCAGGTGAAATAAAGACTTTCTTTGAATATATTCTTGAAATCATACATAAATATACGAATTCTAAGTTTTGTTGTAATTCTCGTCTTAATTAAGATTAAACTTATTTTTTGTTAATACCTCTTAAAACTATATATTTGTAATTCAATATATCGACATATGAATACATATTTTTTCCACATCTATACTATATTTATCATGACATGAGAGATTGGTAATAATTATTATTGCTATTTAAAAATTACCTTTAAGTAAAACTCACTAAATGACCTTGAATAAAATCAAATGCTTTAAAAAGTTCATGTATTTTCTTTACATCTAATGTAAAACATTTAATTGAATAATGTTATTTTTTAACAATTTTTTTAATAAAATAATCATAAATTTAGATTACAACGCAATTACAGTAAATTTATTGCTAATTTATTATGTTTCTTTAAGAAGAAATGCCATATTTAGGTAAAAAAATAAGTATGAAATAGATTAATTCAAAGAGTTGATTTAAAATTGAACTTCTGAAATAAAAGAACGAATAAAGAATGAAGTTCAAAAGTGCTGTGTTTCGGTCATCAATCAAGTAGTTCGTAAGTGGAAAAGTGATTTTATTTGCTCTCTCTTGAGAGAGAGAGAAAGAGACGAGAGGAGATATAGGTGACAAATGGAATCTGTTTGTGAGAGGTGAATCCAGCTCGATTTTTCTACGTGTATTTCGCCTCACACTCGGCTGTGCAACCGCACTTTCCGCCCTTAACCCCTCGGTAATCTTATTCATTGGTTAAGATCCGCGTTGTCATCCGTACAATGGGCCGAACCCCGCTGCCGCCGTTTCCATCTCCCACTCCCACAGCCGCCGTCGCCTCTCGCATCCGGAAGTGATGCACATTATTCCGGGAAGGAAGTTTCACTTGTCACCGCCAGCTCGCAGCCTTCTTTATGTCGCCTTAAGATATTTATTATTTTCAAACCAACAACCCTAACCCCAATCCCCTCATGCAACGTGCATGGCTTCTAAGCGCAACTCGCACACCCCCTTCATCATCACACATTGTATGCATTTGATAAATATTCAAAGTCATTTTAGAGCGTATTTAAGATCGCGACAGATAAAGGACGATTAGCTGTTGATGAGTCTGAACACATCCATCACATTTTCAATAAATCACAATATCTCCATCTATATTACATAAAAGATGTTGTTTTTTTATACATTTTCGAAAGCCAATATTTTGTATTTACATAATTAAAATATTATTTTCATATTATTTGCATTTTCTCAAGACAACATGAAAAAATCGCAAAAGTTTGGTGTACCAATAATATTGAAAGTTAATTAAGAAAATATATAAATAATTTAAGAATACAATATTCTATACAACAAAGAAGTGAGTTTTTAGTATACTTATTTGTGAAGAAACTTGTAAAAGTAATTTTTCTATTGTCATAGAAATCCTACAGACAATTGACAGATGTGTCAATGTATTAATTGATGGTTATTATTGCAGAGGGTTGTTTTTCAAATATAAATCTGGGGTGTTACACTGGAAGTGCAAACATTCGGTTGAATGTTGACGGGATGCGGAGAAATCTGAAGACGCGCGATTAATCCTTGATTAGTGTAGTTTGTTTCTGGTGGGGGAGTCGTGGTTCGGTCGGGTCCAGCTAGTTTGATCTATATAAATACGAATGTATTACAAAGTGGATAATAGGGGGGTCTCTGTTGTGTTTGCTGGAACCCTCGTGCTCTCCGGGCCCGGAGGACATGATCGGTAAACATGGGCTGAATGGGCCTTAATCCTGTGCCGTGTCCACAAACGCCACATAACACTTCAAACCTCACCGCACCAATTCATCCCACCGACACACACACATACACATACAACGTGAATCCTGCAAAAACCCTCCTCTGCACCCCCTGGCACAGAGACCCGTCCACGAAACAGGCAAAGCCATTGTCATCATTTGCACTACAAAGTCGACCAATTAACTCCCACTGCTGATATCCCGCTTATCAAAGTTCTAATTAATGAACGACACCCTTCCAGAATTGGATCATCTTCCGTGATTCCACAAATACTCATTACATCCGTATATACAAATTACACATTTTCAGTAGAATCGGGAAAACTTTGTTGAAAGTAATTTAACTACTATTTTCAAGTGGTAACATAAAAGAAACAGTTACAAACAAATTACTTGTCAAGTATCACATTTTATGTGTAAATTGACAAATTACTTGTGTTAATAATATTTAGTCAAAATTGGATCATCTTCAATTTTATAATAAAAATGGATAATGTATGTTAAAAGAAACTATACTTTTGTTTGTAAGTATTGATATAATTGGACAAGTATTAGATTTTCTGTAATTGCAAATTGACAAACAAGATAATTAATAATTTATTTACATGTCATATCATTTTTGTCAGTTTACATGTTTATCCAAATTTTTAAATTTTATATTTTACTAACATTTTCCAATTCATATAAAATCCATAACTATATTGATTTTGATCTAACTTAGTAATAATATATGTATTTGTATATTGTATAGTAACTCTCTATTAAATATGATTAAACCTTAAAGATTTTAAAATCTATAGAATCACCCGTATAATATTCAATTTGTCATTCATTTTATGTCACTCAGAATTATACTAAAATAAGCATGTTGATTTTTACTGCTGAAACAAAAATGCATCAATCAAGAAAAATATTAAATATGTATTTGATAATAGACTTGTAAAAAGTGTTTTTAAAAAAATATGAGTTATTGACTGCAGTCTTACCACCATTTTTTTTAAATAATTTAATTAAGTCAATTGTGACTTTAATAGTACTAAAACCAAAATTTGAAAATTTATTATTACTATTTAAATAATATTAATGTTAATGCAAGAATACAAAAAAAAATAATAAAATAGACAGCCAACTGCTGAAAATTATTTAACAATTAAAAAGGATACAAATATTTATGAATTTCACTTTCATTTAAAGTTATTATAAGTTAATAAAACACTGTAGCAACCAAAAAATTATATAAAGTATGAAATAAAAAAACATTAGTTGTCTACTGACGAGTATCTTAAATAATTGTTGATTTCAAGTTTAGTTTAACGCAGTTGCTTTCTATTCAAAATTCAAAATAAGACATAAATTGTTATGGGTTTAAACCAGAGATCATAAACCATTTGAATCCTGGCTCATGTATCCGATTTACGTGAATGCATCGGCGTCGTTTTAGAACCGCAACGAATGAAAGGGATGATATGAACGTAGCAGCACGTGGTTTTCGGGTATTTAGGGGACAAAAACTACCACTGACAAATACATCCAGCTTGTATGTTTGACTGACACGCATCTTGTTTAGGCGCGGAGAGCGAAACAAATGCAATTTGCGCGTTTCAAATGGATCGCTTTTGAAGGGCCTTCGACCCCCACACAGAAAACCAGAAACGCAGCCCAACACAAACGGAAACCGCAACAAACAAATTTTCGAAACCGGTGCCGAATTAAATAGAACGATTTCATCAATGCCTGTTTGTGTGATATCAAGAGAAAGAGAAAGAACAGAAGAGAGACGGAGTGTGTGTTTTCGTGCACCCTCCTCCACCTCCGGTGTGATTGACATTTTCTGGGGGAAGGAAAATGAACGGTCGCAGCAGCAGCCGCCGCCGCGTTTTCCGAGATTTCTTCGGGAAATGCCTCACACTTGTCACTTCCGTTTCCCTTCCGACGACAGATGAACAACTCACTAGTCCCGTCACGTAGCGCCAGCCCTCGGATAAATTGCTAGAAAGAGAGGAGGACCGGAAAAAAAAAGAGGATGAGGAAGAATCGAAGATTGAGAGAAAAATTGCGGAAAATTCGTGAACAATAATTTTCGGAGGCCCGTGCTTATATAAATATAAATTCATTCCCATTGTCCGCAGCAGCGTCTTTATTGTTGTCGCCGACCGTAAATTTCTTTAAGCACCGGACAGGGGATGAGATTTAGGACTCGAAATCACTTCCTCAAATAGCCGAAGACACTCACACACACACACAATGAACTCCCAGAACACCCGAAGAACTGAGGCCTGGAACAAAATTGTAATGGACATCCGCAAAGATTTACTCCCTCTATTCCCCGTACACTTCTTCACCCTCTCAATCTCTTCTTTCTTTCTTTTAAAATAATTTCAATTTTTTTTCCTTCCGTGGAAGATATTATATTTTTTTTTTGTTGTATTCCGCGGGGGCGGCGATCGATGCCCGCCGCTCCCCCTTCGGAGCGTTTGAAGAGTAGAATTTCACAGTCCACTTGCGCGATCGCAGTTTCTGCATGAAGATCGCTTTTCGTGGATGTTGGAAAATAAAAAGTGAACGTATTTGGAAAAGGGAAAAAAGAAGACCGGTGAACCGGAGCGAAAATACTCTCTTTTTTTTTTGTTCATATCTGTTCCAAGTGCAACCTGGCTCCTACGTCCTTCGCACGCCCACAAAGGGAACCTCGCAGATTTTTGTTTTCAATTTAATTTTTTTCATTCACAAAAAATTGCATAAAATGCATGAATAAAATATGTAATGTATTGTTGTTGTTTATATCTATGTATAAGATATTTGATATTACTTTGAGTTAAGGTGGAAAGTACAAAAAAATCATGCAATAACTTGTATCACTTTGTCATAAAATCAAGTGACCTTGGAGAGAGACGAAGTATAACAAAACAACGTGTACTATTATTGAATGTCAATCAGTTGTCAATAATTGATCAATTAAAATTGAAAGGTGAAAACGTTTTTTTTTTTCGTTTTTATAATGTTTAGTGTAGAAAACAACATTCGATGCAATCTGCGCAAATCATTACCACTGTTTATAATATAAAATGTTGCAGTCTCGTTCTCTTTTGCAGGTAATATTCAAGAAGGTAGTAGCAATTTGTAGAGATAGGATAGTAGCTTGGAACGAGGCCCCCTTTGGGCTGGCGCCGGTGCACCCCAACAGTTGCAAAACAAACAGCTCGAACACACCGAGATCGTTGTTTTGCAACTCGGCAGGAACCGCGACTTCGGCCAGCTCAATAGTGGCCTCGTTGACGAGCAAGGTTATTGTCAATTGACGACATCGGACTATAGCTTGTTTGTCACACCGTTTTGATAAAAAGCACAGTGCGAAGAGCAACACCTAAAACAAAATAACAACAACACAAAAAAAAAAACTAGTAAAGAGTGAAGATAAAAATATAATGCTGCATCCTCACTATGCGTAACATATAAGTCAAGTGTACCAACTGCTATATAAGTTTCATCAATAGTAGTTGGTATGTTTGAATGATATTTTCAAGTAACGGGTAGTGTGGACGCAGCATTATGCCTTTAACAACCCTTTTGAAAGTCGAAATGTTGAATTGCCTTTGTAATCGTGGTACTGTGGCCCAGGTCATAGCGGTGTGAACCAGCTAGGCGGTGTTTTCGTCAGCGGACGTCCCTTGCCGGATTCCACGCGACAGAAGATCGTGGAATTGGCGCACTCTGGCGCCAGGCCGTGCGATATTTCCCGAATCCTGCAGGTGTCCAATGGCTGCGTCTCGAAGATCCTCGGAAGGTGAGAGATTTGAATTCCGACCGTCCAACGATCTGGAGATGATCATGCAAAGCATACCCGATATTCCAGATACTACGAGACTGGTTCGATTCGACCGAGGGCCATTGGAGGTTCGAAGCCGCGCGTTGCCACCGCCGAGGTGGTCTCCAAGATATCCGCCTACAAACGCGAGTGTCCTTCCATCTTCGCCTGGGAGATCAGAGATAGGCTGCTGCAAGAGGCGGTCTGCACAAACGACAACATCCCCAGCGTAAGTTTCTATTTCATATACACACTAACATATGTTGAATCACTTGCAAATTTTATTTGTTTATGACCCAATCATACCAATGATTCCTTAAAATATGAATTCATCTGTTAGATGTTTTTTTGCTTGTACGAATTACATTTTTCAGAGTATTTCAACATTATCAAGATGTGTCGTTACTTACACTCAACACTGTTAGTAATGACACATCTTCATTTCAAACAGAACATAAAAAAGCTGTAAGGGTGCCAATATTAAAAGGGATTAGGGTTTTATTGGAAAATCTGGTTTTAATTTGATGCTAGATATCGTAATTTAGAATGGCACGCGGCCGCCACGTGGCGGATTATTGCACATTGCATATTACGACCCCTTTTTCAGTTGGAAAAGGAACGATTTCCTTTATTGCCCGGCCACGTGGCTCCCGGACGCGCGCATTTATAATAGTAAAAGAGTGAGAGGAATCGAAAAATAAAATACAAAAACAAGAAAGGATATGTAAAAAAGTGCCCGAAAAAATAAACTGTGGGAAACTGCAAAGTAACAAAAATTGAGTCAAACCTAATAACGGGGGTGCCCAGTCTATAATTTCGATCGATACGGGTGGCGGCGTGTTTAATCCTCGAACACCCCACTCGCCATCTTCGAGCCTCTTCGCCTAACACCCACCCATCCCCCCGTGAACCATCCGAAACCCTCCACACCACCCCCGGCCGTTAACAAGTTTAGCCAACGCGTTTAATCATTTCGTAATCATCGGTTTAACCTGCGTGACGGGGGGCTCTTATGTAACTTCGATCCATCCGGTCTCTCGTCTCGCCGGTTTCTCTCTTGCAGCCAGTCCTCCAGAACGACCCCCCGTATTGAGGGAGCCTTCCTTCCTTTCTTCCGCATATTAGAGACGACCTCCACCCTCCTGTTCTGTGCAAAGTACACATGCATGAAACGCATGCAAAACCCGTGCCAAATTTCGTTCACGCTTTTTTTCCAATCTTTTCCTCCTCCTCTCTCTGCATTTAAACATTTCAATTCACACGACATCTACAGCACTAACGAAGATTTGATGCTAACAACATTGATGCTCAAAACACTTAACTCAGTGATATCGGCAGTACAAATCTAAGAAATTTTTAATATCTGAAGTATAAAATTTACAGTCAATCAAAATATTATTAACCAATATCTCTGCTATTTATATTTCACAAAGTAACGTTTTAAAAGGGAGAAAATCAAAATAATTAATAATATAAAACAAATCAATAATCTATAAATCAATAATTGTTTTAGTTTTAATTAGTGTTTAGTCAATATATATGGTATAAAACATCAAAATCATACAAAGATTCATTAACAAAAGGTAACAGTTGAATTTAAGTAGAAAATATTAATAATTATCGTATTATTTCGTCTATTATTTATCTTAAGAATTATTAATATTAAAATATAAGTGGTAAAACTTTAAGAAATTAAATGATAATAGTATTATAGTAATGTTAATGCTATTTAATATCTTATTATCACCTACAAATATCAAAGATGAGCTTTAAACATGCTATTTGCTTTTCAAAAGAATCCATAAACAATCTGTTACTGTTCGAGATTCACTCTGAAAGCAATAAATACTCATTTGTTGCTGTCGTTTGAAGTGCAGTTTGTCGGAATCGAAAGTCAATTTACATTATAACCCCCTTGGTATGCGAGCTGCCGCCCCATCCTTTTCCTCCTCCTTCTCCTCCTCTTCCTCCGCCGCCGCCGAGAAGTATTTTTTGATTGCGAAGGAAACGGCCGACACAAAAGGGAATATCCTCGTTTATTGGACGCATGCAAATTTCCATGGCAACATTCCACCCCCCGTCCCCGCTCCCGCCGACAACGATGACGACTACCGCCGCTCCCGCATCTTAGCATAGAGAGAGCAGAAAAACAAAAAAATAAATGTTCATGTGTTCTATCGTATACACATATAGAAAGACGCAAATAGAAAGAGTCGGAGAGTTGATATGAAAACAGGAAGAAAAAGAAAAGGGAAAAATGTACCGGTATATGGATTTTTCACTAAAATGCGCAACTTCTTTCTTTCTCACCTTTATAGCACACACAATCCGCATACACGGAAGAGAAATTGCGAAACTGGAAGCGAAGATCCTTTGTCTCTTTCTTTTTTAATACGGCCGGAGAGTAATATCTATATGGCTGCGAGAGTCGTTAGGTGAAATATAACGAGGAAAGAAAGATTCTCCAGCTCGTACTGTTCCATTACAATATTGTTCATGCAAAGCTGAACAATAATCTTCCATTTATTAATTGCTCGTATCAAATCTAATTAAAAGCTTGTTCAAAACTTATTCCACATAACTAAACAAATTAATGTAATATCCTTAATTAATATAGTATTTGTTGATGTTTTATAAACTTTTCACAGGAAAAAAGAACTTGGCAAAATTCTTTTACAAAAATATTAAAATTTTTCTTTTTCAATAAGCATAATTATAAAAAAAAATCATTTTTCAATTAATAAACAAAAGTTTATTTAATAATTTTAATATTAACAATTCTTAAGATAAATAATAGAAAAAATAATATGATTATACTTAAAATTATCCATTAATATTATTAATAACAAATAAGTTTAATAAAATTGTCTTTAGTTTATATGTAAAAATAGGAAATGTGTAGAAAATTGCGTTTTGGTTGAAAAAAAAATAAAGAAAAGAAGTAGAAGGTAAATGATGTTTGATGATGATGGTAGGACAGGAAGAAATCGAGTTTCGCGGAATTTTCGTGGCGCGAGAAATTGAATTCGTGCAGAAATTTGTCTCCGGCAAAAATGAATTATGCGGAAGTTTCCGTGTAGTGTCCCGCAAATGGAATAACGAGTCGTCCCACAAATCGAGTCTGGATCTCGTTATGGAGGTATTTTATTTAGTCTTCCGTGGAAAAGATTGGAAGAAGCGACGGCGGCAGCGGCGATGACGGTGGAGACAGCGGGGGCAGTGCGGGAAGGTTTTGGGAGGAGAAGGCCTTTCTGGCAGCATTTTAAACCTGATTCCTCTCGCTTGACTGGCTGAAGTCGGCCCAATCAATGCGCGGTCCGCACCCACGCAAAAGGGAGGACGCGAAGGGTGGCCCAACATCGCCTACTGCCGCTGCTGCTGATGCTTCTCCCTGCTGCGATGGGGGAACGAGAAGAACATGGGAATGGATCGAGGAATGGGGCAAACATAAAAAAGGAGACGAAGGAACGGGGGAGAAAAACGAAAACGAAAAGGATGACACAACCTCGTGCCCGATTTTTCCCCAGTCCGGCTCATTTCCAACGATTTTCCTAACATCCAGAAAATCCCTGCTCTGCCAGCAATTGAAATCCGAATGCTAATTGCGTAATGCCAACAGGATGTACAAGGCTATCGCCTGTTGCGAACCCTCGTCATCCATTTAATAAAACCGCTTACATCAAGCATCCGTCTATTCATCAACGCATTTATTAATAGATTCCAACTATCTATTATTTCAATGAAGTTTTCTCTTTTAACTAATCACCAATTGCAAGATCTTAATGTTTATTAAATATTTTACCATTGAGTTATTACCAAATCTTGTTATTTTTCTAGTATTAAACTTCAAAACACCGAAATAATGCAATTAATAACTTTATCGTTATATAATAAACAGTACTATTAACTGATTTGTTATTTAATGTATCCATTCAAAATGACTAAATCAATGAAAACATAAATATTTCATGAATTTGCATACTTCACGTAAAGTTGTATATTTCCTGGAGTTAATTACGTTTTCAAGATTTGATTCTATGTATACAGTTATTACATTCCCTGAAAATATTTATTAAAATCAATGAGTTACTGACTCATAAAACAAACTTTCGACAATAATATATTCTGAAACAATATTTACTATTTCAATTATTGCTTAATGCAATTGTAAAGTACTTTTGAAAATTTATATGAATTATTGACAATTTTAATATATGAAATTTTAAGTAAATCTTCTGCTATATTGATAAATAGTAAAATCAATAGTAAAGAACTTTATGTCGTTTGATGGTGCGATGGTTGCAATAACATTTGTGCGAGAAGTTTGCGAATTCTTGCTAAGTGCAGCACAATGAAAAGTTTTCACAACTACCGTAGCATTTCGTTTTTGATACGCTGAAGACGATAGTCTTGTTGGAATCGCGAACGGAGGGAGAAAATGACACAGTAATGATAATGATATGTGGCAGTCGGGGAAATCTGCATTTTAATATTTATCCCGGTTTCTGTTTTCCGGCTCACCATTCTTCTTCCTTTATGTACAACTGTATGTTTTTCTGCGCCTCTTCCTTCTCCATTGCTTTCCCTTCCTGTGCGCTCAGGATATAAAAGGAGTCGTCCGTCGGCGATATTTATTGTCGCCCAGCTGCGAAGTGGGAAGTTGGCGGTGGGAGAGGACGGCGTCGCGACGCGTTCGCCTCTTCCGGCCACGCGAATTCTAATGCATTATGCATGGATCCGACTTCAGCCTTCCTACAGCCACTTCTCTGCCGTCCCCTGCACTTATTATCACACGGTACGATGGTCCGGCACAATCCATCCATTCACTCTACTTCTTCCGAGGTGGATGGACAATGGTCTCAACTCCTTCGTTTTATACGTTACCATCACAACCTTAGTAAGATCAAATTCTTGTAGGCTGCTGCAAACTATACTCTTATGACAGAGAAAATCAGAAATTCTAGGGTGGTGGGTGGAAAGACAGAGAAAGAGACTGAGGGTGGTTGTTCTATATGGCAGAAGACGGAATTGTGCTGCGTAATGTTCGAGGGGTGGCAGGCAGCAAACCGTAAACACAAGTGCGAAGGGTGCATAGATTTACCGCGTGTTTGCGACGAAAGCCAAGCCCTTCTCCAACATCCTTGACCTAAAACAAATATTTACTCTGCAATCTCTACAGTATTTCTTTGCGCTTCGCCCTTTGCTGAACGCGTCGTTATATTGTTTATCCAAAAACAAATCACTACTTGTTAAATAAACGTAACTCACATTCTGCTATTAGTTTTCCACAATTTATTCACGAAGTTGAAAAAAGTTACTTTTACTTATATTTACAAGCTCTCTGATATATCAACAATATATAAAATAATAATAGAATTATAGAATTCTTAAAATGCATGACTGAAAAACCTTGTCATTTTAATTTACAAGTCAAATCTCGTTAGCTTTATTCGAATAGTATGATCAAGCAATTTGATTTACTAAAAGGCTTAATCGAATTTATTAAGTAAATTAACAAAATAAGAAGTAACAAATTTAAACTCTCAATGGATGATGATGATGTGTATATAAATGACATAGCTTAACAAGTTAAATGATTCGAATAATATATTAATTACTTTGAAGATGAAGTAACCAGTTCGATTTCCGACGTTATACAAACAGCCATTGTACGAAATGGTAATCTTCGATTTTTCTCATGAAGAACAATATCAGAGAGTTTTAATTACTCGAGGGGTTCTCGTTCCGTTGTGCCGTCTGTGTATGTATGCGTTTTTTTTTTGTGATTTCCGTTTTTGTTTTTAATCTCTCTTATATTCTTGAGTCTCGACGTCGTGATGTGTGGGGAGGAAGGGCCGCCGCTGTCGATGCCCGTCAATGAGTCCTTGCCGGAGTCCTTCTCCAGTCTCTCACTCTCTCTTTATATCTATGTCTCTCTTGCACTCATGCATCAGAATACATCTATCCTCGCCTCGGACTACTTTTTGTGTGTATGTGTCCCTTCGTTTTGCGAGCGGGACACAAAGCGCCGCAGGGGATCCACTAGCTATTGGCATTCTATTCACGACGACCCCGTGATCCATCCATTATGACCTTTTTTCTACTTGCGCGACCCTTTGTACTTAATGTTTTAAAGAACCCAGCCTCGTTCTCGCTCTCTCAATATACGTATGTTCTCCTTAGTTTTTCGATTCCCAATGCACCTATGACTATATATATTTCACATCTTTTTTTTTTGGCCATATTCCGAGATCCTTTTATGTTTGTTTTTTTTTGTTCAATCTCGCAGATATCTTCTTGTGATTAATTGATGCTTCGCCGAAAGAGCCCTCGATATTTACGAGTTCGTTACGCAGCCAATCGATAATTTTGCATGTATTAAGCTTAAATTAAATTAAATTCCTTGGTGAAAGATTTCATCATTTCGCAATCTTCTAAAAAGTAAATTTCACAATAAATTAGAAAAATTGATTATTTTCTTTTTCGAAATCTTAAACGTAGTCGAAAATTACATAATTATGGTGGTAACTATCCACCGGGAAAAGATCACCTACCTAATGCGATCTTAAATTTACTCAATGTGATGAAAAGATTGTGAACAAAATTACACGACATAAAAAAAATAATTATAATCTATTTGGTATATATAAATATAATAATCGATATAAAACTTCTATATTTTAAATAAAAATGAAGATATTTTTTATTGATAAAAATACAGTAATTATAATAAACTGTGAACATGGAAGATAGAAAACTTATTAATCTATTGGTATATATTGTCTAACGTGTTTCTTGTGACTATATGGCGTGGCGTATAAATTTGATCAAAGGGAGTGAAAATATCGGAAGAGATAGGGTAGAAGTCACACGAATATATCGCTTTTCTTGTCGCATCGAAAAAGGAAACAAAGCAAACCACAAAACTGCGAGATAATACAGATATTTATAGGTTTTCTTACTCTTATATTTCTATTTTTCTTCTATCCCTTTTTGTAGGTGTCTTCGATAAATCGAGTTCTGAGGAATTTGGCCGCGCAGAAGGAGCAAGCAACAACGCCCCAAGTAACCACCGGCAACGATGCGGTTTACGACAAGCTGCGACTCTTGAACGGTAGCCAAAGCAGCTGGAGGCCGTCCCCGTGGTACTCGGCTGGCAACAGCCCCTTCCCCCTGCAGCCCTTGAGCCCGCCGCCCACCATTCTTCCAGATGATCTTCACTCCAAGAAAGGTGAGTGCCTCCATTACACGTCGCATTTAACGCCTGCTTGAAGTGCCAGGTGAATATTTGTTACCGGTACATAGAGGGATGGGGTGATGGTTAATTACGTGGAGAATAAACTTTTAATTGGATTGTCGTTAGTGTCGTTCGCGATGATCGCTCTGGGGTGGAGGTGTGGGTTCCGGGGTGTAACTCTCGTCGAGGACGATTAGTGTGTCAAAGTGTTAGGAAAGGGAGGCGGGGGTATGGTTCTGAAGGCGGCGGTGGCGGGCGCTCCTCGAGTGTTTAAGATTTAGCTTAAAGGAAGCGTGACGTCACACCGCGAATGTCTCTCGGGGGTGTATTGATTCCGTCCCCGCGGGGCCCTTTGTGCGCTCCAGCGACGACCCCACTACGCCCCCCAGATTGCCGCCACCGACTCTGCCGCCGCGTCTCCGCCGCCCCCTCTGGTGGTAACGTCGTTTGTTTGTTGACACTTTGATTCGGGGAGCGTCAAAGACCGTTGCGATTTTAACACCGCAAATCCTCCCCCATAGACCTTCCATGATTTCTACTTATTTCCTGTTTTGCAAATTATCAGCGAGGGTGCATTTGCAATCTACTACAATTTTTTGTCAAAGGCTAAGTGTGCAATTTGCTAAATCTTCATGTTATACAATGCCCTAAATATTCTGATCATCCAATAAATATGATTAATATATTTCAAGCAATTAAGTATAGATTCATTCAAATATTTTTTAATGGAATGATATTTTATCAAAGGAGAGAAAATCTTTATTAATATTAAAGAATTTTATTTCGTGTACTATTATATTAATATAAAATTATTTAAAAAAAAAGCAAACTTAAAAATATTATTACTTGAGAAAATCTTGTTCGAACGATTTCATTCAACGTCAGATTTTTGTATATTGTTGTCGAGTGATTCTCAAGTATGGATGGTACAAAAGAAGGTTACATCGCGTTCCTACGTCTTCTTTAGACTGTATCAATTATGAAAGGTTTTTCCATTCTCAAAGGGTGGAAAGGTTTGTTTCCTTTTTTATTCAGACATCCACTTTCAAGTGGATCCAAAAAGTTGTACTACATCTTGCGCGCACGAGAAAGTGTTCGTGTGTATATATCTTTCTGTGTGTGTGTGTGTAAATGTATTATATAACTGGCATTTCTGTGCGGATTTGAATCGGCACTTGAGCTGAGAGGCGGCTCAACAAAGCCAATGCTTGCAGTCTAAACGTGGGAGCTCCCCTTTGTACGGATTTACTCGCCGAAGTATAAACGCTGTTAAGATATTTATCAACTTACAATAGATATAAACATTCACCTATATCCTGACAGGATGCCAAATTTATATTTTAAAAAATACACTACAAAATTTACGTATTGAATCGCTTTGTTATGAAACATTATTATTCAATTTATATAATTCCCAATAATAAGTATTACATCTATTTAAGTAACTTTGTTATGATAGTAATATTTTAAATTTCATTGATTAATCTTGTTTCGTTACATTTTATTTTATTTGAATTGACACACATTTTACAAATGAATTACTATTATCATCGTTAATAGCAACCCTTGTAGATACAAATATTTATTAGAAGTTTGTATAAATTGACGTAGTTTTGAACTTTTAAATACTCATACAGGAATTCTTATATAAGTTCTAATTTAATTTAATGCACCCCGAATTCATTCATATAATTTTGTATAAAAAATTGTTATTTTGTCGTGGTTTTAAAGAGGGTGAACGTCCGGATGGTCGAATTAATCCTTAACATATTGTTTGTGTGTGTGTGCGTCTGCGGACTTAGTATACGGCATGGGATTTGCCATGTTTTGGAATGTTCGACGCAATCTGTGTCGTGTATAATAAGCCGGATTACAAGCGTTTTAGTGTATAGAAACTAAGTACTTCTACAAGGACTTTAGTGAGCCGAAATCGTACCACCTATAAACAGACGCGCCAAGCGAAAGGACGGAAAATCTCATGCGGTCCTGTGGGAACGTTCCGATATGGATCTCGCGCTGCGGGGATTCCCCTCGATTGCGCCGATAATAATAATATAAAAAAAACTAATGTACTCCCTATATTCTCATTAAGAAATTTAATTTGAAGAAAAATTGCTTTGCCTTCTATTGTTAACTATTTTAATAAGATTCTACTTTTTGTATGTAAAATCGATAATATTACATGTATTAAGCTTAAATTAAATTAAATTCCTTGGTGAACCAATGATTTCATCATTTCGCAATTTTCTAAAAAGTATATTTCACAATAAATTGAAATATTTTCTTTTTTGAAATCGGTAAACGTAGTAATGATTAGCTAGTACCTGAAATTAAAATTACATAATTATGTAACTATGTACTCCCTATATTTTAATTAAGAAATTTAATTTGAAGAAAAAAGCTTTACCTTCTATTCTTAACTATATATTTGAAATAAAAATACATTTAATATCAAAATATATAAAAGTCAGTGAGACGAACAAACTTTATAATGAATATTAATCAAGGAATAAACAAAAGGAAAAACATTTGTACGGAATTTAATGGTTTATACGTTTCTTCGTACTTTTTTCATTACGTTCATAATATTTAGATGAGAGAGGGGGACTATTAAATTGTAAATTTTCCGCCCTTTTCTCGGGAGCTAAAATGGGGTGAGAAATCTGTCAGTTTTTTAATTAGTTTTTCACGTGCCCACCGAGACACGACAAATATACAAACAGTAATGGTTACAAATACAAAAAAAAAAGTTTAACACACAAAATATGGAGTGAAAAACAAAACGTATCGGAAGAGCGAAAAAATAATAATATTGCGAACTGGAGAAGGAGGCAGCAGAAGCAACAACAAAAACAACAAAACAGGAAAAAAAAACAGTTGCGAGAGAAAAAGCGGGAAAATATGAAAGAGGAGAGTTTTCCAAGCACTCAAACCAACGAGCCGTGCGAAAAACTGAAACGAACGGAAAATGTGTTTGTTGTTTGTGTTTTTGCGAATGTGTATATGTATGTGTGTATGTTTGTAGACGCGTGGCTCAAAAATTATGGAATGAAAATAACGAAAGCACGACTGGCTGGTAAAGGTGGTGGGGTGGGTTTTGGGATGCGAGAGAAAATATAGTGTGTGTGTATGGAAAAACGTTTTGGTTTTGGGGCAAATGGCGAACATGACAAGTCAGTGTAGCGTAATGGAAAACGTACACACAAAGAGCACCGAACGCGAAATTTTAATTAATGCGTTATAATTTCATTAGTGCTTGTGGAATTGAATATTGTTGCAGTAAATTGGTTCAAATTGAACAATTGTTTCGCTGCTCCGGGGGCGCCGAAAATAACAGGGTGGCAACAACAACAGCGGCGGTGGCGGCTTCGCAAAAAAAAGAAAATATTGTATGAAAATTGAAAATTGCTGCTCGTCCTCTATCTGTCCATGTCTGTGTTGAAGGGGTGTGGGTTCAGGTTCAGTCTGTTTACACAATTTCGAGGGTAGCATCGAATCGCGCTCTCCCTCCGGTTCGCTGTTTGCTCTTCGTGTTGTTGTTTTTTTATTTCGGTGATTTTTTAACCGATGTGTCACTTGCAGTTGCGTTATTTAAACTGATACAATGTTGCGAGCGGCCCCGGAGGCAGCGAATTAGTTAAATTACAAACGCGCGGGGGGCGGGTGGCCGCGGCATCCACTTTGTAAACCGCCCCCGCAGCAACAGCAGCCGGCCCCGAGCCCTGATTACACGCCACGCCACGCAGCGGCCGAACGCCACTTACTATCTTGTCATATACAAAAAGAACTCATTACCCGAATTACATTAGCCACACTGTTTACCATGCACGTTTAATCTCATTTTCCTTTCATCCATTCACCTTCTCAGAGCAAACCCCCATTAAATAAAACCGACAAATAAACGGTGTATTTATTTACTTTCAAAGGGGAAATCATACCACTTAAAGGATGTCTTCATAACCAAGCTATTTTCAGTTGTAATAGAATAGAATATATTATAACTATTTGCGAAAATACTGCAGTGATTTCCATGAATGTATTAAATTATTATCATAATAATTTTTACTTTATTTCGCATAAATGAAAAATTGTAGTCAATAGCACTTTGTGTCATGCTTGTCATTCACATAAATTAATTTTATTATTAATACATAGTTCAACTATATTTTCGTAACTTAGCATCATCAAAGGATGGATATTCATCATACATTAAAATAATATTTTTAATATTCCCATAGTTTCAATTCTTTTAACGGGCAATTTACTGTCTAAAAGATTATCTGACTAGCTGACAAATTGTGTATCTATATTACCACAATGTTATTATATTTCCTAGATAACTTTAACTTTATGTAAAACTCATTTTCATATTGTTTTTTACATGCTGCAAAAATTGATTGTTTGGTTGCATAAATATTACTAGACATTAGCTTTGTATTGCAAATACAGAATAGTAATAGATTATATAAATAATATACTCAAGTATCAGGAACAAATTCGTAATTTGTATTTGATTAAAATTATATGCGAAATGTAATTTCCTAGTAGATTTTCATTAAAAAATTATTATAATATATGTTTATTTCTTAAATAGTAGAGTTTAGACTTATTAATCTATGCAATAGTTTCTTAAATATTGTTAAATAATTACATGATTATCTTTACAGTTCTATATTATACTTATAGAATGAATTAGAATATAGATTATATATACAATATAGAATATTTGTGTTTAAAAATAGTTGTTCTCTAGTTTATATATATATGAAAATGGGTCTATATCGCAAGACCGACAACCGAAAGACCGTCTATTGAAAGCCCGACGTTCGATATCTCGAATGTATCAAAATCCCGACTACCATAATCCCGACAATCAAAATCCCGACTGTATTGAAATCCCGAATATATCGAAATCCCGACTACCATAATCCCGACAATCGAAATCCCGACAGTGTCTTTTATTATTATAATTTCTACAATAACATTTTTAAATTATTCTAATATATTTTAATAGGTATGACGGATACTGAAAAAAATACTTTTAAGACCTAGGTCTATGGCTCTTTTGCCCGATTATTAATTGTTGTTATTTATTCTTAATAACAATAAATAATATTAATTATTATTGTATTTTTTTTTTCGTTGACTTATTCATTATAAAACTTAAGAATAAGAAATATTAACAATAAATATCAACAATTAATAATCTTATTAAGTTTTAGATTGTCGGGATTATGGTAGTCGGGATTTCGAACGTCGGGATTTTAATACACTTGGGATTTCGAACGTCGGGATTTCGATAGACGGGATTTCGGTTGTCGGGCTTGCGATCGCCACCGTATGAAAATATGTATTTTCTCTATTCGCTTTTCGACTCGATTGCATATTTCTGAAGCAATCCCCTTTCTGCGATTTAAAGCGGCTTGGACCACTTTTATTTTTATTCCCACCGAATTATTTTCGTTCCCTATTCCGATCCGAGATTGATGCTATGGGATATTTTATATATGCTATATGCTTTTTTCCATAGCAGTTTTACTATATCTTTCATTCTTCTTTATCTCCCATCGTTTCTATGTTATATATATATATATTTTTGGAAATACCCGAGCGGTGGAACGTATTTACCCATATAGCGGAGGCGAATAACAGCTTTCTCCTTTATGTACAATTTACAGCGGGGTTCAGAATACCGCAAAATTCCACAAATTTAATATCTGCTCTTTGCGCCGCAGCGCTCTCAGATTCCAAACCGGTTAAATGAACGCCCATACCCTGGAATTTTATCTCATCGCAGCACACGCCGCCTCCATACCACCTCCGACCGCCGCCAACCGCCGCCTCCGCCACTGCCACAGCCGCCGACGACGAATCCATGCAACTAAATCCCTCCACATTACCAGTACCGCCATTTACGAATTACCGACGCGTTTCCGTTAATTCTTCTTCATTACGCAAACAAAACCATAACCGAATGCGTCGAAAAATATCCAAAAATGGTCTTGCTTTGCAATTATTTATTTTTTTGATTTAATGTTTGCTTTGTTCGGAAACCCAGCTCGCGGATGAAGCACTTTCAATTGTTACTGCCTCCAATCAATTAAACTGCGCCGTTTATCCTGACAACGCTCTGAATGCGCTTTTGTGCCGATTCAATGTGCCAATTATTGCTAAAGTGGCATGTTTGCATACCTCTAAACATTAGCTTATTCGTCCTAAATGCGAATGCGAATCGATCTATATTTTAAATGTTCAAAGAAAATCACTATTAATCTACGAAACAAATACAAATTTGAATACTTTAAATCAATACTTGCAAATTTGAGTCGTTTCTAAAAGAAATTCAACGAAAGTTAAGAAATAATATAATCATTCGCTTGGTGGGGTCCATTGAATATAAATAGAATGAAGAATCTAGTGGTACTTAGATTATTTGAGAGACTGCACTAGACATCCTCTTTATAATGTTCAGAATAATAGTCTATTATTATAAAACAAAAAAAATACAAACATATTATTTGCAACAAATTATACAACAATGACCCTTATAGTATTTGGTGTATTGCCTTGAAGTTTCAATTACGTTTTCTTCGTATTGAGTTTACAACTGGAAACCTAATTTGGATCGTGACCCAAATGGGAATTAACTAACCAGAGAGCCGCCCGAACTAAGATTCAACTAGTGGCCCACATGCGGACACACAACATGCACATATACATTATATGAATAAGTTAAAAAAAAAGAACTTAACTTGAAATAGAAAAATATTTATCTATTGGTCCTTTTTGACTAAAGTTCTATCGACTTGAGTCTTTCTGCCATTGAACAATAACATCAAGAAAATATATTTGTGTTTAATAATTGATTGATTGAATCTACAAATTTTATGCACGTTCCCTTCTACGAAAAAATATTTTGTATAGACGATATTGATAGGTTAATGTTTGTTGGCGTTGACGTTAAGTTTATGCAATCGATGTTTAACGGCTCATTGCCTAGGTAATGAAGCTGTTATGTATGTTATGTACATAATTCTTTTGTGTGCTTTTTGACAATTGTTGATTAGAGAGGGATTATATAATAGGAGTAAAACACTATTAGTAAAATTCGATTATTTATTTTGAAGGTATGTAACTGTACATAATCTGTTGAATGCGATAATTGGTAAAATAAATAGATGCGTTCGTGTTTCCATAGTAAGTTAGTTTGTTACTGGTAGATCTGGATGAGGGGAGCGCTATAGAAAGGGTTGACTGTGAATTGGGGCCCGCGGATGGGAAGCGCCTGCAGTCTTGCAGAAGTTGTTGGCAGGTTGGCAACCAAAGGGCCGCTTTGTTGGACGGCGTAGAAGTAGTTCTGGCTTTGGGGAAGAACAAAGTACACGGGCCGCCCGCCGTCGGCAGGTTGTTCTTGCACTTTAGCAGATTTCCTGCCATCCTCCAAACGCTCCGATTCCCTCTGCAACAGTTATATTACCATTCATCAGACACACGGTCTAATCAAACTTGAAGGCGAGATCTGATCTTCTCATCCTTGTACACCTACCAGCGGTTCTTCGGTTGGGATCTCTTCGGTTTCCGCTTCAGTTGTTGTCGGCATTTCGGTGGTGGTCGGTTCTGGCTGGGGTGGTCCATATTCTTGTGCCGGAGGTCCGTAGGACACCTGTGGTTGAGACCTCGATGGCAAGGTGAAAGCCGCTCCTTCTGGCCTCCAACCTCTCGGCTCGTACGGCCCCGAAGGTTCCGCGCTTTGTCTGCTCAATTTATTCTGCTGATACCTCGATGACTCCGCACTGGCCATGGTGACAATCACCAAAACTGTAGCAACGAGTAACTGCAAAACAAAAAGAAAAACAAAACGAACATGAAATAACCATCAAAACTACACATTTTAAGAAAACCACATCTGATAAAACAAACACAAACAAAAGTGCGCAAATGTATGGTGTGAAGGTGCTATATCTTTCCATAATGCTTTTACGTACATCAGCGAGAGAATAGACAGTCCACTGTTGAACTTCGAGATTCGATCGTTTACTTTTTCGTGTTAATTTGTACTCCTGTCGTGGCGATTTTCACAAACCGAGAAAAACAGAATTTTAGTAAACCAAACTCTCCAGCAGATCCCCCTAACTCTGAATTCTAATTATTGTAATAATACGCACCTGCCAAGTCTTGGGTTTTTCTGGAAGTTTCTTAGACTTGGAAAAGAAATCGGCCTAATTGAATTGTAATTAGCAAATTATATAAATTAAGTTCTATTATTGAATGACCGAATTATTAATAACTGAGCTGGTTTACCTTCATGTTCGATGTTTGTGTTTCCGTTGAGTTCTGATACCAAACTGGACGTCGCATCGAGTATTTATATTATTATAAAGTGTGGGCACGTGAGGTGATTTTCGTATTTAGAGTTCGCCTCTCTGAGTGTACTTAAAATTCAAACCCTTGCCTCGATTGTTATTAATCGGCATTGGGCTTTATCCCCAATTATGTCATCGTCGCTCTTGACCCACACAACGAGATTTCCCCTTCGAAATCGAGCAAACGATACAATTATTTCACTCTTTCCCTATTAATTTCGTACCGAGAGAATGGAATAAGCAAAGCTGAAACGTATATTCTCTTGCTCTATCTCATCGCTTCATGTCTTCTTTATCATAATCTTATGCGAGGATCTCCTCTTCACGCTCCAAGGAGTTGTTTTCTACCTGATGTTTCCTCTCTTAATCCTTTCTATCGTGAATAACGCGTTCCGACTGGCTGCAGAGAGCAACATGCCCCAAGCATCATCCCCCAATTTCGTCTGCTCACCAAAACGAAAGGAAGAGTAGAGAAAAAAAAGAAGAAGCAAAATACATAGCAGCAGGAAGTATCGAATTATGCGCCCTTGCAGATCCAATTACCCTCGGTGGCACAAACTCAATGCAGGCGCAAAGTGGATTAGGCAATTGTTCGGAGAACGATCATTCCTAACTTAATTAGAAATATTTTCGTGCCATCTATTGCAATGTGGAGCGTGCGCTTAAAATTCTGGATACGAAACGATTTTCTAACGCAACGAAAATTTAGAAATTTCGCTATATGGTTATTTGTATTCGAATATTACAATTCCTTATATAACTCTGACAAATGCATTTTATTAACGTTGATTTCTAAAATTTCAATTTAAAAGCAAATATATATACAGAATCAGTCTGTAATGATTTTATACTAATTTATATATTGCCTTGGGGAGAATCATTTATTATAAACAATATATTTTTTTTATAATGAACAAACAATAAAAATCTAAAATGAGTATAAAATATTACGCAAGTCACTTATTAATCATCAACTTTATTTGTAAATAATAACGATCTTTCATAACAAATTAATTTCTTATATTACGTTTCAATAAACAAACAACGTGAGATTGTAATAGAATGATAATAATACTAGAGTAACAGGTTATAACGCAATTTACTTTCGTCTTAAGAGACTGAAATGCAGCTATTATTGAAAATTAAAATAATCATTTGAGATTTTTTTTTCATAAAACAAGATAAATATAATAATATAATATAGGAATTTAATGAACGCAAAATAAAATTAATTAGTTTTAATATAAACTGCTATAAGACTTGTTTGTTGAACTGTGACCCAATTGTTTATAGCAGTGGTTGGCAATATCCTTGAAGCAAAGAGCCATTTTTAACATATTGTTAAAAAATATTATGAGACGTAACAGATCGCTACTTTTAGTAGTGCATTGAATTCAAACATAGCCATCATAGTCACTGCTGTCAAATTTTTCATCAAAAGAGCCACAATATTTCAATAAATCGAAAAAAATATTATGATTCCACAGTGCAAATATATATATATTTATGTATCTTTAATTCGGTTTATCAGAAAGGGTTTGGACATAAATATAAAGAAAGGGACTTAAAGAAGAAGCAATAAAGCCATTTGTTGGAATGGAAGAAGTGCGGTAACGCGAAGCAAAATGAAAACTTCAGAGCATTACACGGAAATGGATTTAGGGTTTTATTTCATGTTTCTTTTTTCTCTCCCTCTCTGCCTCTCTGTATCTTTCTAGGTTCCATTTCTTTTATTTCTTTGTTTGTTTTTATATCGAGGGGTTGGGTATGGCTTCTGCGGTTATTTGTGTACGAGTGTCTTTAAACGATGCGAAACGTTTTGGCAATAATAATGATAATAATGTGAAAGGGGGTAAACGCTAAACGAATTTCCGACCGTCGCTGTGTGGAAGGAAAGTGAGTGAGAGATAGTGGCGAAGCGGTCGGGTTGGGGTGCGGTGTGGGGCGGTTGAGTCGGTAGGAAAAGGGGGGTCGGGTTTGGGTTTCGGGGTTTTCGGGTTTGGGGTATATATATCAGATACATGTATGTATATCTCCGAGAGAACGGAGGCGGCGGCGGCGGCAACCCCCTTTTGTCCCGATATTGAAATGGAATCATTTGACTGTGAATAATTTGCTTTGGTACCCCCCAAACAGTAGCCGTGCAGCAGCAGCAGCCTCTGCAGAGAGGAGAGGTTCCTCTCTCCTTTTCCACATCCAGTGTACCAGATCCCATCGTTCCCGTTGTCTGTCTGTCCGTCCGTCTGTCTGTTTCTGTTGCTGTTTGTATATACGTTCCTCCCTTTCTCTCGCTCTCTCTCTTGTGTCTCTGCACCCTCTCGCAATCTGACAACTTATTACTAGACTCCGCCACTCTTACTGGGGCTATTAGAATATCATACATATTATTACGAAACAATGTTTGCTTACACGCTGAGCTCCAAACAGAGCCGAATTCGCCTAGCTAAACATTTCGCATTTGCATCCCCCAATGCTCCACTCATCCTAAATAGAATCATTGATAAGCCTTCAACGACACAAAGAAACGCTATTTCAAAAACATTTTATTATTTATTACATTTTACTTCCATAAAAACTCTTACAAAGTTGATTATATCAATAATAAAACTAGAAAAGACACAATATGTATATTATGTGAATTATTTTTATCATGTTCTTGGAGTGGTGCGATTGAACCAATACAATACATCAGTGATTCTGAAAAATTTTGGTCGTGGCCTACTTTTGCAATTAAAAAATGTATAAGAATGGGTATGTGTCCCGTTTGTCATCAATTTTTCTGCGACCACACTTTGAGAATCACTGAAATACATGATTTATTCATGTAATTTAAATAAAAAATATTGTATATATTTGTGAAATTGCGATGAATCACACGTTATAAAGTATTCCATTTTTTTAGACAAAAATTAACTTTCTTAAAGTCTAATGTATGCACATAATAATGCATAGATTACTCGTTCCATACGATTTTTGTTTATATGAATAAAAGTTTAATATTTCCAAAAACGTTACATTTTTGTCACGCTCGTCTTGTTTTATAAATGTCTATTATTCGAATACACAAATTCGTATATTTTATTTTGTAAAAATCAATAGAATTTGTTACATTTAATACTATATAAAAAAAAGTTTTCTAACAACTAACAATTTCTAACCAATTTATATTAAAGTTTATATATTTTATTTAGTTAATTCTGTAATTATATATTTTGAAGATTGTTTGTTTATAGGACAGCGTTTGATAATCGGGTTTGTAAGTCAAAAACCAATTAAGGTTTATCACGGAAGAGCAGGAGCATTCTGTAATGGCATCGTTTATTTCCTGCAAAACGCTTCCATACTGCGAATTGCCATATTGCCGATGTGGGAATACCGGCGGTGCCTGTTTTTCAACGGACATAATGATCATTAACATTCCTTTTACTTGGCACTCGAAAGTGCTTCGAGGGTAATAAAATTCAAAGTAAAGACGCTTCCATTGCTATCACAAATGAAAACAAACTATGGTAGGAAATAGAAACGCTTAAAGTAAAAAAAATCTGATTGTTTTATTCGGAAGATTTCTGAAAAGAAGTTAAAGAAATATTTTGAAAGAAATAAACGTTGATTTTTAAATGTTAAAAATATGAAAAAAATATAAAGAATTTATTTTAATTTTCTCAATTTTTGTTATTTTCTTTTGTCAAAAACAATAAATTAATTTTGAAGAATCAGTCGTAAAAAAAAATGTTTTAATTATTTAAAAGAACTTTACACTATATTTAAGAGAAATAGGTGTGATTAAAATGCACAGTTTTGAATTGTTGTTACCATTTTATTTAATTGGCAATTAATTTGTAGAAACAGAGAGAAAAAGTATGAAGTAAATGAAAATTAAAAATAGTTCTGCAAAACAATAATAGGATCGTTCAAACAAATAGAGACGAGTTTGTGTATTGCGCCAGGATAATAATAAGTTAATTAGTGGTGTTGTGATTGTCGTTTAATTGGTATAAATGTGACTAAGTGTTAGGTAGTTAGTTTTAATTAATAGGCAGCGGAGCGTAGAGGAAGAGGAGAACGAGGGATGTTAATTAATACAAAACGAGTGATTAAATGGTCCGGCGAGAGAGAGTGAATGTTTCGAAAACGAAAGGGGAATGTCGAGCGACAAAACTCAACAGTTCGCAACCCCTCTCTCTGTCTATTGCTACCCCCAATCCATCTCTCTCTGTCTCTTTCTCTCTAACTGTAGTTGTAAATATCTCTTTCTCCGTCGCTCTCGTGCATCCCCCCCTTAAACGTACACACATGCAAAGCCACCCCCCATCCAAACCCCGAACGGGAGTCAAACGCGTTTGACCGAAACGGAAAGAAGACCCTTGGATCGAAGCGGGCGGATGTAAATTGAAGGTGTCCCCAGCAATGGAATTAAGTCCATTTTGATCTCGCCCCATCTTTTTCCCACTCCCGACCATCCTAACTCCTTCGCTCTGTCTCTCTTTCGCTCCATCTCTTTGCGTGATTCTAGGTGTGGGGACGGTGGCGACGGAGGCGGCTGTGGTTCTGGCAGTCAGCCTCGTCGCACGTCCCAAAAAGCCAAATGCAATCTCGCGCACGTGAGCTCCTTATTATTCGTCACGTAACACCGTCGGTTATTTGCTGCTTGAATGCTACTCCACAACACACCCTAATCACTTTTCCTTTCAATCTTCCACCACATTTTAACGCAAACCGAATTACCTCTCCGCACTATTTTACTAACTCTTATTTACCCGCATACTGATTTATGCTTTCTATACTTGCAGTAACCTATTCAATTGTACTCAACACATATTGTTTGAAATTATATTTACACTACAGATTCAAATTCAAGCACTACATTTTCAACTTCTTATTATTTATTTATATGTGCTTTAATCAATAAACAATATAATTTTGAAAAGTACAATTATTAGCAACTACAAAAGGAAATACTTTTGTGTT